TTTCAATACCTGCATGATGACGGTGCTGAAGAGTTTCCATACTTGCCTGTATACCTGTGAAACACAGAAATATGAACAAGGGAAAGAGCTACATGGAAATAGCTATGTACCTGATATAAGGAACAATTCCTAGCAGAACTATTAGAATACAAAATGGCTTGGAGATTTAATTGTTTCCTCAATACCAGAAATACTATTGTAGTAATCAAACATCAATCTGTTGGGAATTAGGACTAGGTGATTTCTAAGATTTCACCTCACTCAGAACTTCATGAATTTAGGGGCTGGGGTTGTAGCTCAGCGGTGGAGGGCTCACCTAGCAGGTGTGAGGCCCTGGGTTCAATCCTTAGCACCACAAAAATAAATAAAATAAAGGCATTGTGTCCAACTACACATAAAAAATAAATATTTAAAAAAACTTCATGATTTTGAATTCTGTAGCGCCTATCTACTCTTACACTCACTGCTTAAGGTACACCAGTGCCTACTATAATTTAGGAGAAAACTGTTAAGGAACACAATACTGTAGGCTAGGGATTGGCAGGCTTTTTCTGTAAATGGCAACATAGTCAATATTTTAGGCTTTGCTGGCCATATGGTCTCTATGACAATTCTACTCTTGTAGTGCAAAAACAGCCACAGAGGACATGTAAACCAATGGACAACTTGTGTTCCAATAAAACTTTATTTATAAAAGTAGGTGTCAGGTAGGATGTGGCTTGTGGACCACAGTTTGCTAACAGCTGTAGACACTGAGAATTCTAGTTAGAGAAGCTTCTTATCTGGGCAATCTATGCTCTCTGAGTGCCTTGCCCTCATTGTAGCAATAAAGATGTCATGATAAGGAATGAGGCCAAAGTATTATAGGACATACTCATCTGTCACCAAAACAAGGAAGTCAGGCCATCCCTGGTTTAACAGGAGGGAAAGTTCTGAGCAAGACAGAGAGATTTGTGATAATGGCTTAAAAACACAGAAGAATACAGTGAAAGGAAATAGTTTTAGAAGAAAGATATTTTTTGGTAACTTTCAAACCTGGATCATGGCACATGGCTAGAAAACAAAAACTGCCACCAAAGGTGGCACCCATGTCAGCTGGGGACTTTGGAGATAAGCAGGAACCATAAATGCAACCAAGACTGTGCCAGGGACTCGGGTCCACTTGGCAATTCTCAACTAAATTAGATGAATAAATAAGAAGTACCATGCACATTTCCAGACTGTGACAAGACCCCATGCCTGGAGGTCTCTGGCCCTATCTGGGATTGACCTTAGCATGGGCACTTAATGCCCAAACTTAATGAGCCTGGACAATGAGCGACTCCCACCAAGGATGAAGACAGACAAGCAAACAATTAAAAAGAGATAAATGGCTTTTGATTTGAAATAAGAAAAATGTCCAGCCCACCCTACTATCAGCATATTTAGCTCATAATCAGGCATTATTATAATGGTATGCAAATTATGGAAATGGCAGACATTCTTTCCAACTACGTTTTCATTAAAGATTCCGTTTTCTTTTCCCTTCTAGAATAATAGTAAATGACATGCGAACTTCATATGAACTATAGGTCACGAAAGGATTTAGTATTGGCATTTTTAATCTAAAAAGTCGAGCACCAGAAAATCAATATGTTTCAGTTGCAGCATTCGGATGCAATTTTACTCACGTAACAGGGTTTCTTTCTTTCCTTCTTTCTTCCTCTTCTTCAGAGTCTTTTTTTTTTTTAAAGAATGAATAATTCCTGGTTTTTCTATGAAACAAGCCGCTGTATTATAAGGTAATGACATCAATAACACATTACATGTAAACAGAAAATGAACAAAAAATCATTCAAGGCCCTTTTGAAACTGGAGTGCTTTTCATCAGCCCCATTACAGGTTCCATTCACATTATCGGATTGAACCATCCTGCATAACCGAGGTGCTGACAAGTCCTGATTACCCAATAACTCCTGTATCCCTTTCAGGCAGGTTCACGGAGAGGACAGGAATACCAGGCCTTCCTGGGGGGCAGCCGCCTGCCACGCAGACCCAATCAATGAAACTCAATGCCCTCTCTCTCCCCCCTTCCCCCCAAACCAGGTGCTGCACTTCCTTGTGTGTCGCGGGGCCTTTCCTTCTGTGTTCCCACTTGTTAACAACTGCTTATGATACAGTGCCAACAGGCCAGGCTGAGATGCCTACCCCCAAATAGTTAAAGCCTCCTATTAGGTCACCTGTGTGGCAAACTGGAGGGTGTGGGTCCTGTAGGTCACTCCTTTTTTTTTTTTTTTTTTTTTTTTTGTACCAAGGATTGAACCCAGGTGTGCTTAACCACTGAGCCATATCCCCAGTCTTTTTTTTTTAAATTTTTTACTTAGAGACCGAGTCTTGCTGGGTTGCTTAGGGCCTCCCTAAGTTGCTGAGGCTGGCTTTGAACTTGTGATCTTCCAGCATCAGGCTCCTGTGCCCCTGGGATTACAGGTGTGCCCCACAATGACCAGCTCCTGGGTTACTTTTAAACAGCAGAGCCAGCAGAAGAGCCTAGGTGCTCGGGACAGGAGGAGTCCCAGGTGGCATGGGTCTGCATGGATATTTGCATATTTTCAACCACCTGTCCCTTGCCTTTTACTTCTCAATCTTGAGTTTGCTTCCAACCCTACACCCCAAGACTCTACCCTTTCCCTATTTTTATATTTCTGGGTGACCTCTTACTGTTTTCTGAGGGCACTCTACTTGAAGCCCAAACTCTTCATGCTACTCAACACATGGAATCCCCCCTCCACTAGGAGGGAGTGTGCGGGTGCCGTTGCTCAGGTGTGGCCGTAATGAAAGCCAGCTGCCTGGCTGCCCAGCCAGCCAGCCTGGGCTGTGGGTGATCCTTCCAGCAGTGCAGAGCCTCTGGGCAGGCCCACAATTTCTCTCCCCCAGACAAGTTTTCAACCCTCACACAGAAACTGTAGCCCATTGCTCACGGTGTAGCTGGGAGAAGCAGCCAAGCCAACCTAAAACAAGCCTTTAAACAAGCAAACTGTGGTTTTGCCTTTTGGGTGGTATATCACCATATATTTGACGTAATCTTCGGCCTGGGAGAGATCATATTTTTAAAACAAATTTCTTGGCTTCCAGCTTGGCTCTGGAGCATTGCTGTCGGAGGGATGTGGACTTCCCTGATTAACACAGGCTCCATCCCTTCTCTCTTTTTCCTTCTATAAAAACTTTCCTCCTACAGTTAAACTCACATGTTGATGCATATGCAAACATAAGAAACCAAATACCATCCTGGACTCCTTACTGAAATATTTTAAATTAAAATGAAGTTCTGATAGCATAGTTTATAGCACACATCTAGAGATAGGATGGGACAATAGTCACCAGTGTGGACTCTTGAGCCAGTAGCTCACCCCTTACTGGCTGGATGCCCTGTGAGTTTCCTAACCTCTCCATGCCTCAGTTTCCAAACTGTGAGGATGACCCTGAAATTATGAAAGGCTTAGAATAGCGCCTCATACGGTATAAACATGTGTTAAAGGATATTCTAAATATCAATAGTAAAAATCAGTGGAGAAAGCATGGATTGCTGTTTGATCTTGGGTGAGATTTGGATTTACTTCTAAACGTGATGGGAGCCATAGGAGACCTCCAGGCAGGGAGCAGCATGACTGAGAGCGCATTTTAAAAGGATTGCTCAAGCTGCTGTGCAGAGGACAGTCCATGAGGACAAGAGTGGGATGGGAGACTAATGAAGCAGCTATTCCAATAATCAAGTGGGGTCAAATGACACCTGGGACTGGTGTGGTCTGGCATGGTAAGCAGTGGCTAGATTCTGGAGAACTTTAAAGGTAAGGCTCATGGGACTTGAAGAAGGATCAGAGAGGTTGGGCATGAGAGAAGATGATTCCAAGAGGGGGCTACATTGAGGGAAAAAAAAATCCTGAAATTGGACTTGAGGCAGTTTGAGAGGACAATACTAGACACTGATGTTAATGGTGGGTGCAGCACAGAGTGGGTAGATTTGAGGTCACAGGAAATGGAAGGGATGTGAAAAGCATTTGAAGCAGGAGGAGAAGGTTCAGCAGAGATGCGGAAGTAGAACAAACATTTTACATCAAGTGAAGAGGAGACTTGAATAGGGGAGGGCTTGTAGGAAGCACCGAAAACCATGCTAGAGGAGTCGGTACAGCAGGGTTTGGAAGGCCTGACTCTCTGCCAGACAGTTCTGCTCAGTGATGGACTGGAAGTCTACATACTTAGTTTCTGGATCTAGCTAGGATCTGTGCATCACACGGGGGATCACTTTATTCTGTCTCAGGAAACTTGTTAAAATCCTTATTTCTACCTGAAATCGGCTAGAAAAACTTCCAGATCTAAAATCGACATTGGGTCATTCAAAAGTTAATCAATTATTTAACAGCTGTGACCTTCTACATTTGGATAGTAGAATCCCATTTTCTGTGCATTTCCAGAACCTGAATTCTGCTCAGTGTGTGCTTTTGGTTATTTAATTAACATAGTACAATTCTGTTTTGCATATGTACCATTTACTGTATGCTGTACATTTCTAGGTGCATTAAGCATCCTCACTTACATTAGCTCTTCAGGGCTACAGACACAAAGCCACTTATATTCTACTTCATGGGCAATTTAAAGGATTTTCAAGGGTAATCTTTTTTTCTAATCTCAATTTTTTGCCTTCAATATTAGTATGGAAGCCTTGAATAAAGATGCAAATCTGCTCCAAAGCACTGGCTCACAACCTTGACTGCGCAATGGAATCACCTTAGGAGCTTTAAAAACTAGTGATGCCTGGGCCCAATGCCTACCAGATCCTCATTTAATTGATCTGGACTGAGACCTGGGCATTGGTATTGTTTAAATCTGGGGTAATTCTATCGTCAGCAGAGCTAGAGAGCTATTGCTCTACGTATGTGTTTACTCATTATACTGAAGTCATGATGAACCTATGAGGATCTACCATGATTTCCATTTTTCTAGAGCTTCTGTGTTCTTTTTCACAGCAGGTATCGCTAAGCCTCAGGACCTGGCAATATTTACAAATCCTGTTAAACCCATGGACCACCCAAGGTCACACTTTATCCTTGAACTCTGGACTCTGCAGTTTGCAATTAAGAAACAAACCAAAGACCAAACAAAATAAAGTAAAACCTTCTGCTGGGCTGGCGATGGATCCATGGTACTGAAAAATAGCTCCATTGAACTTCTGCCAGAGACTGTGGGTAAGCTGCTATTGTACCCTAGTGCCACAAAGAAGGAAACCTGAGTATCTCAACAACCCATTTATTTAGAGAAGGGAGATGATGAACACCAGTTTGCAAAAAAGAAACCATTTTTACTTGATGAGGTTTCAACCATGTGGTGGGTGCCAGCTGCTGCTATCTGCCCGCTAAAGATCACAGAAATGAGAGAGCAATGCTGAAGTCAGGCAGGGCACAGGCCTCTATTTTGTTCTGTTACAGGCTTTTGTTTCACTATTTGGGCTAGGTCAAAAAAATTATTTGAAATTCAGTTTTGCCACTGTTGTCAAATGAGATGTTCTGGGTTAACAGTAGTTGTTCCTAAACAGCAAGGCCTGTGACACATTTAGTCAGCCAGAATTTGTAGTTAAAAGCACTTGAAGAATCAGATTAAACAGGCTTAGCAAACCATGGGGATAAAAATCAGTGTCTGTTTTTTTCTTTTTGCTTCTCAGGTCACAGTCTCCATGAGCTTGGGTTTTGTCATCTGCAAATGAAGTAATGATAGCTAAATTCTTCCCTGTGGCTTTGAGGTTAGAATGCTGTGTATGTAATGACGTTATGTAAAGGACTAAGGGACTCTTGGGAAAGAACTCAAGGGAACAGCAAATAAAGTTAAGCTCTGATGGCCCATCAAGGTTTGGAGCCATTCTAAGAAAGCATTGATCTTGACGTTCGGGTTATCTTCTGGTTTGAACCCCTTGGAAATTGAGAAACTAGTGTGCAAATGGAAATCAGGAAAAGTGTATGTCCTCCCCTCTCCCTGCCACGGGACAAATAAATTCTGTTATACATTCAGAACAGCACTTTAATATGCCAATCACAAAAGTGTAGAAAGGAATTATTCTCCTGGGATTCTGCATACCCACATCGAGCACCACTCAACTTTGGCAAGGATATTCTTTTAAACAACAGTTTGAGACAAAATTCACACAAGATAAAATCTACCCCTTTAAAGTGTACAATCTATTCCTCAAATGATGCAACCACCACCATCATCTAATTCTAGGACATTTTTATCATCCCCAAATGAAACCCCCATACCCATTAGCAGATACTCCTCATTTTCCATCATCCCCAACCCCTGGAAACCTGTCCTATTAGCTTACCTTGGAATTTTGTCTAAATGGTATCCTACAACATGAGGTCTTTTGTGATGAGCTTCTTTCACTTAACATAATGTACTCCAGCCCATCTGCACAGCAGTAAGTATGAGTGTTTCACCTCTCATATGGCTGAATAAAATTCTGCTTTATGGAAGACCACGATTGTTTATCTACATCTCAGGTGATGAACATTTGGGGTTGTTTCTACTATTTGGCTGTTGTGAATAAATAATGCGGCAAGAATTTTCATGTTCAAATTTTCAGGCAACCATATTTTCAGTTCCCAATTCCCCTGGGAATATCCTAAAAAGAGTGGAATTGCTGGTTCACGTTCTTAGTGCATGCTCAACCTTTGGAGAGCTATCAATTTCCCGAAGCTAACCCACCACTTCACAACCCTACTTGCCAGGCATGGGGGCTCCCATTTCTCATCTTTGCTAAAACTTGTTATCATCTCATTTCCTGGTCTTAGCCATGCTAGGGACAGTGAGTTGCATCTCACTGTGATTTAATTCACTTTTACTCATTCATGCTGGCATTACTGTGAGTTTAGTGTGAGGTTTTATGTCCCAAAGAATTCATGGTTACCGCTGCTTCTTGTTTCTATTCTTCTTTTGGACAATTTATTAGATGATTATTGGAGGTTCTGGATGGTTCTTTCTTATTTATTTATTTATTTTTTTGCTACTTCCTACATCATTATTTAGCTCTAATTCAGGATTTACTCCTCATTAGATTCCAGTATTCTATTTAATAATGTTGTGCTGGTTTAATAATATTTTGCTGGTTTAATAATATTTTTCTTTTCTAAGCTCCCTTATTTTTCCTTTGTTATAACTTTAAGTATAATCTATCCTGATTTTAATGATGGGATTCCCTTCTTTGGCTCCCCAAGACTATGATTTTTAAAAACTTTTAAAGTCTTTTAAAATACTCTCATATTCCTATTTTATCCGGTCTTAGTTCTTCCATGGGCTGAGCCTGCAGCCTTCCTGGGATAGGAGGGTGTCTCCTTTAGCTACTTGGAGAATTTAAGTTTTGTGGTCATTTTCCACAGGAGAATTTTCCCTTGCATGTCCTCTGCTGCTGCTGCCTGCAGTGAGATGGCCTTGTGACACGGTGGACCTCAGGTTCTTACAGGAGGTGCAGAGATACAGCTCTGTTAATGTTACAGTTGTGGCCACCTTTTTTTTTTTTAATAACTGAGTTCTCTACTGTTTCATGGAATAAATCCCTCTTTATGTTTTGTTATAGAGAGCGGATGTGTATTTGTTGACCATATTTCTTCTTTCCCCATTTTGTGTGTTTGTAGGTCTAGAGTTGATTTTTTGCATGTTCCATCCGCCATCTTGAACTGGAAATCTAACAGCACTTTTGAGTATTCAGGTGGGAGATGAGGTGCTGTTCTTGAGGGACAAAGATCCCTGTGATCCTAGCCCCTGAGATCCTTAGGGTGGTCGTCCCCATTAATTTTGTAATTGGTGCCTCAATGGAAGGTGTTATCGGGATTAGATCAGAAAAAGTATCCTTGACATGGGGGCCAGCACTCTTGCATTAGCATTGGGGTCACAGTATTGGAGCCACTCCTTTAGCATCCCCAGAAATGGCAGAGGCTTCACCAGTCACCACTCAACCATGAACCCCGTGGGTGGAGTTGTCAAGCATAGATCAGATAGTTGCAGGGGATGCCAGGAAGCTGTTCTCTGCATGGGGCTGAGGATGCTAAGACAGAATATAAGGAGCCTCTACAGGGGATTCTATAAATAATCCCCAAAAAGGTGACTGGCATAAAAAATATTACCCTTTATGGCCTGGGGGGAATGTGAGGTTTGAGTAGGACAATGTATGAAAAATAGTCTAACACAAAGTCACTCAAGTCAATAGTCCTCTCATGCTCTCTGAATATGTATCTGAACAGCTAGGCTGGTCATCTTGTTTGGGTTTCAGTGCCAGTCAGGGGCACCCAAAGGATGCCTTGTCAATCTTTACAGGGAAGTGCAATGGTTTATAAGTCTGGTTCCCCCCAAATTCATAGGGTGGAACCTAAAATAATGAGTTGGAGCCTTAAGGAGATGATTAAGTCTTAAGGACTCTTCTTTAATAAATGGGTGTTAGTGCTCTTATAAAAAGGCTCAAAGAAGCCAGCAATGTCCTTTTTTGCATTTCTGCTTTTCTACCATATGAGAGCATGCTGTTAGTTCCTCTCAGCACCAGGTTGTACAACCAGGTACCATCTTGAAAGCAGAGAGAAGACCTCACCAGGCACTAAATCTTCTGGCACCTTGATCTCCAACTTCTCTGCCTCTCAACTATAAGAAATAAATTTCTGATTTCTATAAGTTACATTGTCTCTGGCACTTTGTTACAGCTGCAATGAAACTAAGCCCTCAAGAATGGATGTACTCCTGGTCTCCCTGAGAAACCATATGGACTCCTCTTTTGAAGTCTTTAGGAACCTTTTATAGAAAGCTTTGGCTTCATCCATTGTTCTCAGAGAACCACCCTTCTATAAGGGTGTCAGGGCTGTTCATACTGTGGGACCTTATTTCTTTGGCCTCCCAAATGGACCCAATGGACATCAAACTTGGACAGTCATATTCCAAGATTTGGGATTCATGATTTGGAAACTAGATTTTTGTCTGTTCATGGTCAAAGAATGCGGGGGCTCAGAAGCCATGGAGCAACTGTGTTTCAAAAATGTAAACTGTGAAATACCGGAGTATTGTTCAGCCATATTCATTCTCCTTCTCTCAAAAACACAATCTAGAAGTTGTGCCACATTTTTACAGCATCTTAATCATTTTTACACATTGAGGAGTATGTGTTTGTGCTGAACAAATTATAATACAAGGACATTTTGTAGAAAACAATGTCATCTTCTGTCATATAAGAGAGTGTTTATCAGACACAGAGCAGCAGTGATAATGGAAACAAAGATTAAATTTAGAACAGTGGCTCTCAAGTTATTTCATGTGATACCATCTACTCCTCAACCAAATAGTACTGAGGCATAAACTACGAAACTGTGGAGACTATGCTTCAGTGAATAGAGCTTGGTGTTGAAATCAAATCAAATGAACTAAAAAAAAATCAATTTGACACATATTTAATGCTGTGCATAGTTATAATTATACTACACGGCAATTAGACATAAAAGGCAAACTGTTCAGGTAGATTCCTACAATTATTTTGACTTTTTCACAGTCAGTTGAGGGGGGTGAAAATTTCTTGAAAAGGAGAAAGAATTATTATTTCTTAATCTTTAACTTTCTATAGCAAAATCTCTCTCTCTCTCTTTTCTTTTTCCCCATAACCCTTTAATAGACTATGTAGGCCTGTGGACTCCTTCTCAAAATAATGCTTCTAAAATAAAATATATGATTACAAAAGACAATAATATTACTAAAAGACAATTTTTTAAAAAAATGTGATCTAGTAATAGATGCTCCTCTTTATTTGCTCATCACTAACATATTAGTGGCAGGGTTTAACGATCAGCATAACTTTGAAATAGTGATGAACATGAACAATATTTTAAAATAATATGAAAATTAAGTACAGCATCAAAAAAAAAAAAAGAAAGAAAGAAAAGAAACAACAATAAAAACCCAGGTGTGACCAGAAATACTATGGTTGTTCATTATTCCAAATTTCAGATAGGAGTGAGTGATAATGTTTTTTTCCCCCCATATTAAAGCTGAAGGATCCTATGAATTCAAGTTAAGGAATCTGTCTTGAGAGGAGAGGTCAAAAGCAATTCACTGTCATTTTCTAGTAAGTAGTCATTGAATGTTAGCTATTTATTATAATATATGTTAATATATTATAGAAAAAAAAGTTTTCATAGTATCTAAACCTGGACCAATAAACTGACCTTGTTAGAAGTCACATTAATATTGTTGGCCACAAATCTGCTTTTTTTTAATATTTATTTTTTAGTTGTAGTTGAACACAATACCTTTATTTTTATTTATTTATTTTTATGTGGTGCTGAGGATCAAACCTATGGCCTCGCCCAAGCTAGGGGAGTGCTGTACCCCTGAGCCCCAGCCCCAGCCCTAACAAATCTGTTTTAATAACATCCCAAATTTCTGATAGTTGTGCTGTGACCGTGTCCCCTTCCATGTGGGCTGCTGGTCAGCGCAGCAGTCATACATGGCACTGTTGGTATGAGGCACCAGCAGCAGTTTGCAGAATTGCAGCCGTAATGATTTGCTAAGATTTGGACTGTCCTCTTAGTCTCATCAATCCTTGGGAGTGCTTGGGTAATTTGGGGAAGGGGTTGAAAAAAAAGAGGCTTGAAATCCCACAGACCAGGTTGTACCCAGCAGTTACTGGAAAGTATTCTGGAATGTTTTCATCTCCACCCCCTCCCAGGAAAGCTGAGGGAGAAGTTTCCCTCTTTCTTGGAATCAGCAGCCCCCTGCATCCAGTCTCCTGGGGCACCCAAGAGTTAAGAAGGGTATGGGAGGGGGGAGATGGGTGGAATCCTCAGTGGACTCCCCAGTGTTTTTACTAGAATCTC